GGGCCCGCCAGCAGGACGGCTGCGACCCTTCCTTCCACAGGACGGCTGAGGGTCCAGGTGAGACAGGCCCTGTGGGCAGGAGCAGGGGCGGAGCGAGAACCCGGCCTGCCGGTGCCGGGAGGGAGGGCGCAGCTCCTGGGGCTCCTCGGGCCTTGGGGGTCCTTGGCGGTCCCAGGGCTGTGGGAGGGAGCCACCCGTGGGCCGTGTCTGCTCTGGGGTGCGGCTCTGCATCTCTGTGGCCGCCCGCGGGCGGGGGCGAGGCCTCCAGTCTGGCCCCTGACGCCCCAGACTCAGGGCAGGAGAGGCAGGGCGTGGGGCTGGCGCCCCCTGGCGGTCGGTGCCAGCCTTGGCGGACCCCGGAGGGGGACCCAAGCGAGCGAGGCTGAACCCCAGAACCTCCTGCTGTGCTTGGGCCTTGTCCAGCTCACACGCTCGATTTGGTGGAGGGAGAGGCCTGCAGTGGGGAGGAAGGGACGCGTCAGGGAGCGGAAGGGGTCCGCACAGCTGGAGGCCCCACTGTCCCGCGTCCTGAGATCAGGTGGGAACGTCCTCACCCTGGGACAAGCCACTGGGACATGCTGCCAGAGCGTGGCTGGACCCGGGCCCCCCCCTCGCAGAGGGAGGGGCGGGTGCTCCTCCAGCCGAGACCCTGTGCCGGTCCGATGAGGCCGGTGACACAGAGGACTGATGGCAGGCAGGGACATGGCCCAAGGGGAGGGCGGGAGCTTCTAAATTATCCATCAGCAGGCGGCCCCATGCATACATGCACCAGAGCAGCATATAAGAAGGGCCCGCAGGGACCGGCCGCAGGACCCGGCCCAGTTCTCCACTTGCCGGCCCATGGACACTCACCTGTCTGCGATGGCAGGTGAGCACCCAAGACGCCTCGGGCAGGGTGTGTCCCGAGGCAGGCGTGGGCCCTGCTGGGGGCACCCCTTGGGCCCGGGCCTCTGAGCCGAGCCAGCTCCACGACGCATAGTCGTGCACAGTGGAGGGGCAGACGGGAGTGGCCTGGGCAGGGAGGCCACCTCCTGCTCCCAGCCCCCAGCCTGGGTCTCTCCTCAGGCCCCCAGACCACCCTGCTCCTGGTGTCCGCCCTGCTCTGCCTGCCTGGGCCCTGGGAGGCCGGCGCCTTCCCATCCGTGCCCCTGTCCAGCTTGTTTGCCAATGCTGTGCTCCGCGCCCAGCACCTGCACCAGCTGGCCGCCGATACCTACAAGGAGTTTGTATGTGCCTGGGAATGGGTGCCTGGGGCCCTGGGGGCGGATCCCTGGGGGCCGCGGAGGGGGTGGGGTGCCCAGGGTCTCTGCACAAGCG